TGGATAATCTGGTACCTGCCCATTTCATTACGTCTGACAATGTGGGTAAGTTCCAGGTCCTTTCCCTTAAATGTTGCTAGCTTGTAGGGCTTAGACAGCATGCCTTCTTGGTAGTTGCCTCCTTCCTTTGGAAGATCCCATCCCACCCCTTGAAATTCAGTAGGTTGCTTCCCTCCTGGCCTTCTAAAATTGTAAACACCTGGTCATTCCCTTAAGCTTTGGAATAGGCCAAGTTGTTTGGAGTTGTAGGATGTAAACTAGAAATAAACACTGGTTTTCAGCAAAAAATATTGTAAATCACAGTTACATGACCATGGGACACTACAGACGGTCATAAATGTGGCCTGGTTGCCCAAAATACAGTCATGTGAGGGGGGAGCTGCCATCAGAACTTTTAAACTGGTCATAAGTACCTTTTGGAGGATATGCTACACAGCTGGTTGTAAATTTAAGACTACCTATAATAACTACAAGGTAAATGGCAGATAATTCTTAGTAAAGGTAAAGGTTTCCCCTCTACGGGTCGTGCTCATCTCTGTTTCTTAGCCAAGGGAGTCAGCATTGTCTGAAGACATTCCATGGTCATGTGGCCAACATGATTATTCGCTGAGGCATGCAGGATGCTGTTAATTTCCCACCAAAATGGTACCTATTTATCCACACGCTTTTGCATGCTTTGGAATTGCTAAGACGGCAGGAACTGGGGCAAATAACAGGACTTCACCCCATAACATGGCCCTCAAGTCTCAAACCTGGGCTGTCAGCTTTCCAGCCAAGAAGCCCAGCATCTTAACCCTGGGCCATCACATCCCTCATTCTTAGAGATCATACATAAATAATTTTACAATTTTTGGAATTTTGTAAAGATTTTATTTTCTGAAAATATAGAAATATCCAATTAGATACTATGAGATTTTTTTTAAAAAAATGGAAAACATCTTCTAAAATGTCTTTTGTCAAATCAACAATTTTAGCTGAGTGAAACATTTTAACTCCTATTTCTGGGGAAATCTTTTAGGAAACCTTAGTAAAAGGGGCAATACTATTTTAAAATTACGAAGCCTTTATAATCATAATTTTAAAATCAAGTAGAAACCCTTTGAATTGTGTAAGATATCATTCAATTCCTTTGCTATAAGTTGATGCCAATATTTTGATAGCTGTTTTGACAAGAGGATTCACAAGGTATTAACTTTAATTGTTCACCCAGCCAACCCTTCATTAATATGTGATTTATGATCATTTAGTGAGAAAGCCCATGTGGGCTGCAAAAAAAAAAAAGCCTGTTGATAAACAAAAGCATTGTTGAATCATGCAGTAATAGCTTTGCTCAGCACTGTACGTGAACAAGCAGACCCTGAAACTATGCAGGGTTTCATGTGGAATAATATATATATATATATCCTTAATAACTGTAAAAATCCAAATCCCGGGCATATCTATTCAATACTCGAACTCCGGAATAAATATAAATCAGCTGTTTATTGTTAAAAAATAAGCTAAGTTTGTTTTAACATTGTAAATAGTTGTTTTTATTGTTTTATTTTTTTTAACAATAAACAGCTGATTTATATTTATCCCGGAGTTCGAAGACTATATATAGTTTTTCAGGGGGGGAGGTTAGATATAAATTCTATTGTGAAATTCTGTAAAAATATTGGTGATGCAAATGTAATAAATGTAATAAATTTCTATAGAAGTTTAGACAAGCCTCATCTAATGAAAAAATTATAATCCTGTTTTATTAACAGAGAGAGGATTGTTTTTGAGAAGCAGTTCATTTTTAAAAGGCTAATAGATAACAATCAACTGCAACCTATTGAATTAAAATTCTCTGAAGAACAGAATATCTGTTAATGGGAAATTATTCACACGTGTAGCTATAATAAATGTATGAAATCACATTTTTCTGTTAGTTCAAAAATCATGTAAGGAAAATGTCTGATCACTAGAGGCCACTATCATACTTATTGGTTTTAACTACTTGGCTTTCATGAAGGTAGTTGGGCAAGGAATGAAGGGCCATGAGGATTAAAGATAAATTTATCCATCCTAAAGTATCACATTTTTCAACTCGAGTTCTCAAAATCCCAATCCCATTTTGATCAACTTAATTTTGTAAGAGTCTTCAATTTACCCACAAAACCTTTATATGCTTCTTGGTTTTTTCCCCCAAACTTCAGCTGATAATGTTTTTTGTTCTCCACTATTCTGCAAAATTAGCTGCATTCTTTTAGCAGTTGAACATGGTTGGCTTTTTTATCTAAAGTTTGATTTTTCTATTTCTGCCAAGTTTTTTTATGAGCTCTGGCTACTTTTCTTGGACAAAATATATATTTTTTTTTCATTTCTGTCCTATCCAAAAAGAACTTGGAGAATTAACAACCATAAATTGCATTAAATATTGGCTTATTAAAGAGAAGCTCCCTGAGGATGGGCTCCAGCACAAGTCTGAGAGCTGAGAAGAATAAACCTCTGGTCCGGGTGACTGACCCAATTGGATCCTGCAACCTTCTGGGATCCTGCAATTATCCTGGGACAAATATATTTGCCTTCATTCATAAATATCTCAGTTCCAGAGTGAAATATATGGATCAGAAGAGAGAAATTTGGTGCATCTTTTCTATCATACTATTGTGCTGTTAATTTTAAGAATAAACATCTCTCTCTCTCTCTCTCTCTCTCTCTCTCTCTCTCTCTCTCTCTCTCTCTCTCTCTCTCTCTCTCTCTCTCTCTCTCTCTCTCTGCAAGTTCACCTGCATGTATGTTTGCATGCAGACCATAAAAACACAAAGTATTTCCATTATCTGTTTTACTATCTCCCTATCTTGAAGATTTCTTTCCTGTAAAGTTGTTTTGGTAATAGAATCAGAGACTCCCCCATATCACATAGCTGTTTTAAATAATTTAGAGCTAAACTGGATGATTGCATTACCAAACTCTTTTACAATTTTCATTAAAAAATCCACGGTGATGGAATTTCCAACCATACATTTTTCTAATTACATAAAGCAGTAATTTTATTTGGGGAAAAAGTCATGAGGAAGTTGTGAAAATACTAATATTTTATTCCATTTACAATGTTTTTCCTTCAGAATCCAGTACAAATCATTATGGTTTTACATGTTTTCAGTTTTTACTAGCTCCCTCAACGCCTTTAGTCTGTTGACTTATCTATAAGATAATGCCTGACTGCAGTTTTGTGTTTTGTGATCTTTTTAATGACTTCCAGAAGATTTTAATCAGGGAGGATGAGAATTTTAGATGAGATAATGCATGGAAGGTGTAGAATAAGTTAGTCCAACCAAATCCTATCAGATATGTTACCTTTCAATTCACATAAATATCCAGGTGACACAATTATAGAAGCTGGACTTCAACATAGTAGAGGGTATCATACTGGGAAAGACTGACATAAAACATAAGACTGAATATAGTTTTATCCCGGTACAATCAAAATCTTAACTGAAATAACATGTTTTTGATAGGGTGGATCTTTAGGGTGCCCTAAAGTCAGACACAACTGATCAGGGAAATCTGTACCTGTTATTATTGAAATGTCAATAGATATTTGGTTAAAGTCAAAGAATATTTTTTGTCATACTATCTGTATTGTATAAGTAGTTGTTTTTGAACAGCATTCATAAAAGATATTTAATTATAATTCCTTTATTATATTTCACCTTATCCCTTCTTCTTACTATCTGCCTTTCATAACAACATATGTATATATATTACCCTCTCAAAGATAATTCTTCATGCATTTGGTAAAGAAAGCTTTAGTGAACATTCATAACACAGTAAATCTTTAGGGTACTTTAAGGTTTTCCATTATTTTTGCTGTATCAGAGGAATTGTTATATTTTAATACCCCTCAATTCAGTCATATAAAGAGCTTTCTCTATATAATTTAATGTTAAATTAAAATCTAACACTTTGTACAAGTAAAAGTAAGAGCTGTTATTTTTACAATTCCCTCATAATAGTGAATTTTGTCTTTCAATAAATATCTTTATTAATTTATTAACAACTATATTGTATATACTATGTGAGCTGTGTCGTAGCCTAATGGTGAAGACGCAAACCTTCCACTTAGAAAGTTGAGAGTTCAGTCTTGGGTAGTGGCAGCTGTTTCTCTCCTATGGCACAAAGAAATTCCTGTGAATTCTATGTGGCTTCAGGAAGGGCATCCACCCAGTAAACACTCAGCTCCATCCAGTTGACCCAACTCTACCCTGAATTAAGGGATTACAGGATCATAAAAAAGATTTTTTATATATTTCTTATTCTATATTTTTCATTTTTTATATTGCATATTCTATATTTTTTCAAAAAGAGTGCTGTGGTGGCCTAGAAGTGGAGCTCTCACTTCACAATCAGGAAGCTGTGAGTTCAATCCTAGGGGGCGGCAGATATTTCTTTCTCTGGGCATAAAGAGAAAATATCTGCTGTGAGCTCCACGTAGGAGTTAGGAAGGGCATCCAGCCAGTAAATTCTCAGCTCTATTCAGTTGCTTGACTCCACTCTTTCTGTTAAAAGAAAAAAAAATCTATATTTTTCATATATTAGTGTATATGATAATCCAACTTTTAACTTTAGCTGTTTTGTTTTATGAAAATCTGGATCCAGGCTATATGATAACTGGATTCAACTGCTTTGAATAGCACTAGAAAATGATTGTTAATATGTGCCTTTGCAATAGGTTTATTTCTGCTGCTTTAGGTAGTAAAGCCTATATAACACACACCAGGATCTTGGAGTTTGCCAGTACTGTTTAATATAAAACATACATACATTGAAAATACTGTATTTTGAACAATTAAGAGGTATCCAAACTTTTATTTAATGTGTCATGTTGAAAGAAATACAGTTAAATTTGGAGATAAGGATCCCAGAAATGTACAGCCATTTTTTATATTCTTGCTACTATATAAAACCAGTTGTAGCGATGTGAAAATAAATTTTGCTTTCAGATATGTTTTAAAATATTTTTTTTTAGATAATGCTCTTCTATGTCTGGCCAGTTGATGATCCTTTGTAAGTCTAGGTGTTGCTGAGCAAATAATCTGAATATTTCTTTACATGAAAACTGTTAAAATTCAAATTAGTTAAAGTGGATAGATGTCCACTGTTGCATTTAAGAGCAATTTATTAATGTAGTAGGCCAATATTACTTAATTTATACATGCTTGCAAACTTAGTGGTCACAATCCACCTAATAATTCCTCAAAGATTCCCAAATTAATGGGAATTCTATTTGAATATTTTTTATCAGATTATGAACTGGAGCAGTAATTGTGTGAACAATAAAAAAAATGCAGCTTGAAAACATTAGCTTTGTCACCTAGAAGGTTAGGATGACAATGAAGAATTGGAGAATGAAGCAGGAATTTGAGGACATGGCCACAAATCCTTTCCCTGATGCTAAATGATAAAGGCAAGATTGTGTCTCCATTCCATGGGGACAGAAGTAAAAATGTCAGTAGCCATTGCTGACATACTCTAGAAAAAGTCAGGGTCATGAATATATTTTGAGCCTGTAGAATATTTTCCTAATTGTACATAAATTATCTGGGAAGATTTAAACACAAAATCGTAGAAAAGAAAATAGGTATATATTAAAGTAGCATTTAACCAAAAATATTAACAAAAGCAACATTTTTGTATTGCTTATTTGAATATCTGATATTTTGATACCTGCACTTATGATTTCAATTTTAAACAGATGGGAGTTTATTAAGACTTGATTGATTAATTTTTTAAATAAGTATGCTTCGCTATTTTGTTCTCCAAATAATTTGTATGTGTGGCTGCAGAGTAAAAATGTGCTTTATATCATTTCTAATTATGAAATGCTTGACCAATATTTACCCCCAAATCTTATGCACAGAGGAATATTGAAAAAAATCTGTTGTGCTCACCTAAGGGAGAGATAACACTAACTATATCATGTGTTTTTGATGAAGCAAAAAACAAAGTAAATTCACTTATTTTCTCTAGAAATTGTCTCATGGGTCTTTTACAAATATAATAATCTCCACTCTGCAGTTAAGTCTCCAATATTAGGCTTTAATAGTTACCAACAATTTTAAAAAGCAACAGGTATTTAAGTGGAAACGCTTTTGTGCATTTATTTGTAGTTTCCAAGTTGTATTACAGATCGTTCATAGATGCATCGGAAAGCAGATGGCTGAATTTCCCAGAATTGCACAGGGTTACTAAACAGGCTTACTCCTGAATAAGAGGCTTTTTTGCTATTGTATCCAAGAGGACAGAAATCATTAGGGCCAATGGCAGCAATTTTGTTGTTGTGAAGGTAGACAACCTGAAAATCAAAAACATAGAAGTAAAACTCTTTTGTTGTAGTCAATTATAAAAAGGCAAAATTAATATATAAGAATATCTAAATGTTTGTGTCAAAATACTTTTCAACTTTATCCATTCTCATTGCAAACAAAGGACCCATAAACACATGTAATCAGTTTATTTCCATGAGATAACAAGGAAATTTCAGTGCCTTATCTTTCCATCTTCTGTCACTTCTATATATTTGTACATTCCAAATACTTACATTACACAGATTCCCAACTAATTGAATATTTCAGATACATAAATTTCTGATGCTAGACTTCAGCAGCTCCAAGATGTTAAAGCAGGAGTTCTTACCATATTCTAATCACAGATATTTCATATCCTTCTGCAGAATTCAGGGATCTGAAAATCTTCATTTGTTAATATTGAGAGTAATAAAGTATTCTTTGATAATGTTTTTTTGTGATTCTCTTGACCACTACAAGATTGAACTAACTGTGCTAAAAAAAATTATATCATAAAATGAAACCTCATCAACATTAAATGCTGCAATAAACATTTCTTGTACTGGAGATTGGACTTCATGCCCTATGCCAAAAAAGCCAACACAGTGCTCGGCTGCATTAACAGAGGGATAGAATCAAGATCACGTGAAGTATTAATATCACTTTACAATGCCTTGGTAAGGCCACACTTGGAATACTGCATCCAGTTTTGGTCACCACGATGTAAAAAAGATGCTGAGACTCTAGAAAGAGTACAGAGAAGAGCAACAAAGATGATTAGGGGACTGGACGCTAAAACATATAAGGAACGGTTGCTGGAATTGGGTATGTCTAATTTAACGAAGAGAAGGACGAGGGAGGACATGATAGCAGTGTTCCAATATCTCAGGGGCTGCCACAAAGAAGAGGGAGTCAAGCTATTTTCCAAAGCGCCTGAAGGCAGGACAAGAAGCAACGGGTGGAAACTAAGCAAGGAGAGAAGCAACCTAGAACTAAGGAGAAACTTCCTGACAGTTAGAACAGAAGCGGTCAATGCTCCAACACTGGAAGTTTTTAAGAAGAGACTGGACAGCCATTTGTCCGAAATGGTATAGGGTTTCCTGCCTGAGCAGGGGGTTGGACTCGATGACCTCCAAGGTCCCTTCCAACTTTATTATTATTATTATTATTATTATTATTATTATTATTATTATTATTATTATTATTATTATTATTATTATTATTATTTCCAAATCATGATTCTATATGCCTTAACTATTATGATTTAATATGACAGAAAAATGATGAAATTCTCATGGGTATGACGTAAGCTTTTTTGTACACCTCCAATTACAAGAGAGCAAAAAAGAAGTGTAAGTTATGTTTCATTATAAAATTATCTGTCTAGCAATGTAAAATCTCCAAGATTTCCCAGCATAATTAAATTCAAAAGAAGTTACTAAAATTAGGCAATATTGACAGTCAGAAAGGTTGCAAAGTGCTAAGCATCATGTTTTGTATTCAGGGAATTAATAGTTTATATTATCTTTATAAATACAATATGTAAGTATTATTGCATGTTTATTATAAACTCTGGGGTTAAGGTTCATGTGTAAACTCTCATCTAGATATTTACCATGGACCCAGACTTTCTTTCTTTCAGGTTTGCTGTTGTTTGCTGGACCAACTTCAGACCTTTGTTTTCCATCAACATATGCTTGATCATGTTATTAAAATGGCAATTACTCAGGCTATCATTCTAAAGCCAAAATGCAGCATTTTTCTGCACGTCTTTTTTAGGCCTAGGTACCTCTCCAATATAGTGTATTTTATCTGTGAGTTTAACAATATTTCTAATTATTGTCCTTAGGATATACTTTACCTGTATGTATTTGTGTTCTCCTAGTCCAGCAGGTACTTTGGCCAATTCATTGTTGTTTAAATGGAGTTCTCTCAAATGTGGCACATTGGTTAAAGATCCATTTTCCACACTAGCAATGCGATTGTAACTGAGACCAAGCCTATAAGGAGAAAAACATTGTACCAATGGTGCTGAAGTAAAAGTTTGTTTCTATATGTTCATTAAACATAATTTATCACGTTGATTTGTTGTGATTTCATTTGCATTATATGCATTTTTACTTATGCTGCAAGCTGATGTGTGCAGTTCCACAGAAGCCAGATGCCCTGTATATAATTTAAAGAGTTATGAAGGCCCCAGCAAAAGGAAAGTATTTTTTAAAAACTAATGTTTTAGAGAAGGGTAGAATATATGTGGGCTGCATATGATCTCTTCAGACCCTCGTTTGTGCTTGACCGCAGAGACATAATATTTTGACTGTCTTTTGGATGGAAATTTTAATAGATAAATTAAGTTTTTTAAATCTTACAGAAACCTCCATAGCATCACACATTAAATCTTTTCTAACTCACATCAGTTTTTAAAGTATTCGGTTATTGAATTTTAACCTACCTTGATAAAGATATTAAAATAATGAAGGATAACTGTTCAAGATTAGAAAAAACTACTTAAAGTGAAAAATTAGTTAATTTAAATAATTAAACTAGTATTTTAAAATATCTGTTACAAAGTGAGATCTGCCTTAATAGATTTATATATGTGTATATATACATAAAAAAGCATACTTAGCCAAATTGGGAAGTTCACTTAAACTATCTCTATCAATTTTGCTGATTTTGTTGCCATCAAGATGAAGTTCTGTCAGAGACACAGGAAGACCTAGAATTTTTAAAAGAATGTGTTTATGTATATATATTGCATACAACTGCAAAATTCCTAGAAACATTATTTTTTATGCATTATGTGACACAGATGAAATTTTTTTTTTGCAGTTTAATTAACATCATTTTTTACTGTTGGCACCGAGTCACTCTAGATTTCTTACATACAAATTATCCTTAAGCTCATTTGCTTAAATTCTTATGATAATACAGTCATGCAACAAGAAGGACCTACTGAAATTCAATGACCTTTTCCATTTAAAACATATTGAGAAATTATAGTCAGAAGTATGAATGATTTTCGGATTAACTCTTCACCATGTCTTTACTGCAATTAACATACACTCTTGTTAGATGCGAAAGGATGCTTTCTACTGTTTAAGAATTTTGGAAAGTATTGCATCAATCTTAGAATTTAATTTGCTAGAATGCTTAATTAGTTTGCTGTGACGTGTCTTACATCATATACCAAGTGAGGGATCAACACATGTAGTACAAATCACCTTGATAAACACTGAAGACTGGATATATGCTATCGATATAAGGGCAAGGGACAAGATGGATATGCTGAAGGTGCACTTTCGTTCTTAGCTCATTTATTTGTATTGTTCCAACTCTGCCACAAACAGGGAACTTAGTTTCCTACATGTGAATGTGTATGTGGATTATATAATATACTGATAGTAGTATACTGAGTCAGGTACAGTCCTGCTTCTTGAGATTTGTTAACAATAATCGCTGAAGTAGAGAGACTGAAACTGGAATATCATTCCCCTCCAATAAGCTGAAGAAAGGCTAAACATTTTGACTCTTACAGTAACAAATTCACTTAATAAATGATTCTGTAAGAAAGATTGGAAAACTATTTTAGCCACTTCGCTTTCCTCTATTCCATTTTGAATTGGACCTGCAAGTTATGTATTCACAACACACACACCTAAACTGGAAATGCGTATACTGCAAAGATTCAGAGAAGTTGTAAAGAAGCTATGTTCTTTTTGCAACATCCTTCCTATGGAATTCCAGTCACTCAGCTGAGGTACTCTATTTAATAGGCATTCTTTGCATCTATGCATTCCTTTATCTAATGTCATAGCGGTAAATGGCAAGTTATATAAAGATAATCAACTCAAAACATTAGTAAAATAAAAAGTTGAACATATGTGTCATTTACATTACTAGCCATTGTTTTGAAAGGTAAATTGAGAATAAAAATATCCAAATACCAATTTAAGGTATTACTAAGATTACAATGCATTTGGTCCTAATTTCAGAACATTAAGATTTTCTCACATGATATATTCCTTATATTTAGACATCACTTATTTTATATATATTTTAAAACAAAAAATGAAATATAGACAATAGGGTACTTGAATGTTGATGTTACACAAAACCTCTAAAAACAGTGATTTTACCTTTAGGAATTGAAGTTATATTTGTGTCTGAAATACGGAGGTAGGAGAGCTTCTTCATCCCTTGAAAGGCTCCATTTTCAACCCCTGAACTTTTTAATGGATTGGTGCCCAATTCTAAAACGCATTAGCAAAAAATAAAAAAAATAAGCAGTATACTGGTTATAGAATCACCATCACCAAGTTATATAATATACTAATTCTAACTTTTCTACTCAATTTTGCTATATATAAGGAAAACTAATGCAATTTATTGTTGCATCTCTATAAAATTATTCTTGATTTTGAAGGAAATGGATAAAAGGCAATAGGATTCAGATTGCAGACATATATCAGAAATTCCTTTAGATATGTGAAATGTTATTAATTAAAAATAATTAGAATTCTTATTGGCAATCCTAAAAAGTGTAATAGTTTTATTGATCTAATGCATGGAGTATCTATCAATTGCTGGATCAGGCTGCTGATTTGAATATTAAGGGCCCTAAGTGATTTGGAACCAGGAGAAGTGACAGATGGCCCCTCCTGCTACCAGCCAGGTAGATTGCTAAGATTGCAAATTGCCATTTTGTGATCACTCCCCTAGAAAATATCTAAGGCACCAATGGTTTTATCATTAGGCCTCTGTTAAACACAGTCCTTCATCCAGGCCTTCCTTTTATGAATGTTGTGTTAACCATTTTTGTGGTTTTTATTCATCCCTCTTTTTAAATTGAATATGTTATTTTTCTACATTTATAAAGACTTTAATCTTTATAAATGTAGTAAGTGGTAAACAAAAACATTAAACAATGAAATAAATAATATTATTTTCTGCAATACTTCCTTTAATTTTTTTCTTATCTTTCTTCACCTTAAAAAATTAAATGTTACTAGCAAAACAAAATATCATTTCCTTGCAGTTGGGTTAATGTGCATTCCTCAGTTTCTTCAATTGGCAGATAATATAAGACTGTGATTGGTTGATTCCTCTACCTTCATTTCTTTTCCAACCATCATTTGCAGTGAGAAAAACTGTCATTGCTTTCCTTAACATGTGGTATAAAGAAGTTGAATGAATGTGGGGAAGTGCTTTTGCTAATACTGTGATCTGTCACTAGGGCTGGAAGAATTAAAATTGGCAGAAACATCTTAAAATATGTAATGGTTACATTTGGGATAAATCTGTTTGCAATATGCATCAAACCCATATTCCTGATTTATATCAATCTTTTGTATAGAAAAGATTTACCTATTTTTAAAAACATAGATCTATTGCTCTTTCAAAAGAAGACAAGTCATGTATTTGAAAAAAACGTTAATGTTTAATCTAGATGTGTGTACACAAAGAACTTGTGTAATGCCTAAATGACAGTTTGCAGAGTGTTGCTTAGGCATTATGTGAACATGTGTCTCTGCAGAAGGTGCCAACTTCCTGTCCAGCTCAAGCCAAACTGGCCATGAAGAGGAAGATCTAGTGATTGGGAGAGAAGGGCATGCCTGCAGCAGCCTAAAGTGATCACTGGAAGTTGAGGAGAACTCTGCCTCTGAATGCATGATAGCAAGCTTCATCAAGGAACAATTTGTATGGTAAATGTTTCAGGAGAACTGGAAAAACATTGCTTCAAAACCCGAAAAGATAGACAAAAGGAAGATTCTTCCAAGATAGACTCAGGTTAGATAAAAGTTGTACCACTTAAACATCCTTTAAAAATATTTAGTGGGTTATTATTCTTCACATTTATATCCTAATGCAATCCAAAATGTCTCTTGGTAATGTATGATGCAAATAACCATCAATTTAATGACCTCAGCATGAACCATACTACCCATCTCACATATGAGTAAAAAAAGTTTCTCATTTTTTTAAAGATTGAGGGCAATAGAAGAAGGGGACGACAGAGAATGAGGTGGCTGGATGGAGTCACTGAAGCAGTAGGCGTGAGCTTAAATGGACTCCAGAAGATGGTAGAGGACAGGAAGGCCTGGAGGAACGTTGTCCATGGGGTCGTGATGGTCGGACATGACTTCGCAACTAACAACAACAATTAATTGTGACACAATTACTTAATTCTCTTTGGAAAGTTACCTCAACAAACCAATGAAGAAGCTCTAACTAAATTTGGATTTCATCAAATTTCAACAATATTTTCCATTTTGCCAACTAATAAGTTCCTATCATAAACTTTTATTTATAAGTAATGGTGCATACCTATGACAATCACATTATTCAGTCCAGTGAAGGCAGATTTCTTTAATTTGACAATATCATTTTCATGTGCACGCAGTTCCTGTAAACTTTTTGGCATGTTTTCTGGAAGTTCCTTCAAGTTGTTTTTGGAAAGATAAAGTCTCTCCAGTTTCTTGAGTGGAGAAAAAGCTCCAGGACTGATTTTGCTGATTTTGTTGTTAACAAGAATCAATGCCTGAATAGTAAAGTAGGACAGTTGTTAATGCCAGACAGGAAATATATTATCAGAAGCAAGATTATAAACATTCACCAGAATGCTTGTATGCTAATCTCCCAATGGCCTGTTTTTAATTTTATTTTTGAAGTACATGTTGGCAGTGCTACTTTTATGCAGTCAGTATTTATATGAGTGCAAAATGAAATGTGGTTTGGCTGCAATTTTAAAATGACTGCCAATAGAGTGGGAGAAATACTTGGATTAAGATTGTGGCAGAGAAGAAGTAACTTTAACTCTTTGCCCTGACACTGCCTCTCTCACACTTATTTCAATTTTCAAAATTTCAATGGAAGAAGAGTACAAAAACCTGCTGAGAAATCTTATTTAGATTTTTAAGTGGGATGAGAGCTTATTCAGTAAGACCCTTGAAAACTAAGGGCACATCCAGATAACCAGTCTTTTGAATCCTTCTGTATCCATTTTAAAACAGATAAAGGTAAAGATTTTTCCCTGTCCAGTCGTATCTGACTCTAGGGGGTGGTGCTCATCTCCGTTTCTTAGCAGACTGAGCCCGTGTTCTGTGATGATATTTCCATGGTCATGTAGCCAGCATGACTATACACTGAATGCTGCTACTTTTCCACCAAAGTGATCATATTTATCTATTTGCATGCTTTCAAACTGCCAGGTGGGCAGAAGTTGGGACAAGTAACAGGAGCTCATCCTCTCATGTGGCACTCGGTCTCAAACCTGGGCTGTCAGCTTTCCAGCTGACAAGCTCAGTGTCTTTAACCCCTAAGTCACCGTGCCCTCTTTCCATTTTAAAACACACCTAAAATTGAACCAGACTCTTTGGATATTTTTTTTTTCAGATATCCAATAGTGATATCCTATTAGTCTAGAAGGTCATTGCTATTGGATTGGTGCTGGCTGTGGAAGCCTGAAGCTGTGAAAGTATAAATCATTGGGCCTGTGGGAAATAGCAATGAGCAACTTGAAGAGGGATGTCTGAGCCAAAGGGGAAGAGACATACTTCTATGCACCAAGTGGTGGTTTATCTTATTTCTCTCCCCTTGTACTGTGGGCAAAAAAAACCTGCTGAAAGTAGAATGTTCCCCCTATGTAATATCTATTCTATAGCCATTTTGTGAATGTTGGTATGCCAGATAATAAAAGAACGTTGAGCATCTTCTCCTTACTCATCTGCTACCTTTAAAGAACATTTAACCATCAATTTAAGGAACTATTGAACTAGATCATAACAGTTCATAAAGTCAAGTCTCTGGTGGTAATTTGAGTCTTAGTTACTAATATTAAACCAAAGCTGGGACATTTAAGTCAGTCTCTCTCTCTGCGCAATGAATGCTAACATGACTGAATTAGGTTTCAGATTGAGAAACAAATGTAAATAAAATATTTCAAACTAATTACAATTTTTGAATGATGAAACAAAATGTTTCTCTAGACTTCATTAAGGTTCATGCAGCTGAATCTGAATTAACATGCACATATAATTGAAATGCAAATATTGTATATTCAGTGGTGGGATTTAGCCAGTTTGCACCAGTTCGGCAGAAGCGATAGCTAATTTTTTGTTGCCCAGGTCCAGAATGGACTTCTGGAAGTGGCATCCACACAGAGAACCAATTATTCACATATTTGAATTTTACCACTGTGTATGTTACATGAGTATTTAGTTGAGAGAAATTCAGGCTCCAAGTTCTAATATCAGAAATGAATTAGGGTGTTTCCTTGGGCACAGCTTTTTACTATTTCCACCCTCAATCCCTTAAAAAATGCTTGAAGTTGAAATTTGATCAACTTAATTTCTACTAGTTTTGAAACATTGAGAAGAGCTAGAAAACACCATGTCTGAATTGTTTTTCCTCTATAAAACTAATAGGAATATTTAAAACTGGATCTCAAAGATTGTCTTGTCCTCTGGACAATTACTGGAGCAATACAAATCAGCTTGTTCTGTCAACACAAAAACACACAAATAAGATTACATAAATTGTGACTGCACAAACTTCCTTTTTTGAGGTACATACTATATAGTTGGTATAAAACAAAAACAACCAAAAATCCACCACTTCCACAACGTTATGTCATGAAAGTGTCTTTCCTTCTTTTTGTTTTGAAAGTGTCACCTAATGTAATGTTGAAAGGATAACATAGAAGCATTTTTGTTAACCAAACGTTTTCACAATAGCTTGAACAATGTAGATTGCAGTGAAAATCCCTATGTTTATGAGGGGAAGTAATGGGCTACTTGACCCTGGTTTAAATGCATTATTCACATCTTCTCCTTGGTTGGATAGATGATAGTAGATTCGAACAACTGTATTGCTTATATTTGTTCCTTTTAAAATCAAATATTTCTAACAGCCTTACCAAGTTCATTCACTTGGTTTTCTGAGCTGAAATATGTAGATAGTACAGATGTAGGTTATGTAGGTTTAGATGTAGATATATATTATATTATTATAGTATTATTTCTGTTCCTTTCCTTCAGAAAGGCTTCTTCCCTTAAAATTTTGCTATAGTTATTAAATTGTGTTTGTTCATCTTATTTATTTCTCATGCTAAGTTGCGCTCATATTAAGTACAATCATGGGGTAATATTCTTTCTGACATTTAATATATAATTTTACAGAATAATCCAGTAGGTGCCAAAATTATTCTAAACCCTAGGTTTCCTCATCTTCCTTTTATACTGATCTCTTCCTGCAATATCTATATAGTTAAATAACTGTCTTCCTCATACTATACTTAAAGAAACATATTTCAAATTTCCTTGCTCTTTTCCAGTCTCCCTATTCACAAGTGAATTTGTTGCATAATCATCTTCCTTTAACCTTCATTCTTGTTTTAGTCCTGGGAAAATCTGCCCTTCACAGCTAGGGCTGGGAGACATGTAATGCTTATTTCAGGTTTCAGCTAAATTCGGCAGAAGATTCACAGACCTCACTTGACTATCTTAAAATGTATGCTCCAAACAAGAATGAAACATCAAGTCCAGCAGTTGATTGCCCAGTACAGTCCAAAAAAGACAGATGCTTACATGTTTATATTTCAAAGACTCTTGAATTAATGTATGCTTGTCAAGTTGCTTGGAAGCCTTGGGAAGCAGTTGAGACATGTTTACGTATTGGCCTTCCTAGGCCTCAGAAACTACCGCTTTCTACATTATTCTTACAATAGAGCTGAATCCAGGAAAGTTTTGTTCATAACGAAGTCATTTTGTCCTATCACTCTTCCAAAAATAACCCTTTACAGACTTTGTCTGAGATAAATAAATACTTTAAAGGACTTTTAATAAATACTTTAAATGAACCCTTGACTTTTAAATTTTACTTATTTATGTATTTATTCAAACAATGTATCTAGTTTGCTCATCTTAAATACATAATCCTGGGCAACTAACAACAATGAATAATAAATTTAAAGGAGTTCTTAAGCACAAAAACAAAATATTTTTTTAAAAAACAAAAACCAATTAACCAAGGCAATATAGCAAACTTCCAATAAACTGTATGAACATTGAGCTCAACAAACATCCTGGCCTAGGGCCTGGAGGAAGATGTTTCACAGCTTTCCTAATGCCCAAGAGGATCTAGGCCATCTGGATCTCAGGGTGAGGAGAGGTTGGTCCATAGTGCAGGTGCTACAACAGAGAAGGAACCTCTTCTAGATCCCACCACATGATAATGTTTGATAAAAGAGACCTGGACTATTGAATATATCTTTTAATTGATTTTAAATTTCTTAGATTTGTATTGATTGTTTTGTTTTTTAATTGGCTGTAAGCCGCCCTGAGTCCACTAGGAGAAGGGCGGGATATAAATGCAATAAACTTCAAACTTCAAACTTCAAACCCACATATCAGATCTGGTGGCCTGGACAGAAACCCTAGGAAAGAGGCATTTCATAAAGAAATGTGCTATGTAAATCAGAACCTTGAATTGTACCTTGGAAGCATACCTGGGAGCCAGTGCAGCTCCAGCAGCAATTATTTAAATTGGTGCTCCAAAAATAATGTATACCACTCTACTCAGGATCAGCTGAAGCTTCTGAATGTTCAACAGCAGCCTATATAGACCACATTGTAGAACTCTAATTGGAAAGTGACAAAGACATGAGTGACTATCATCGATGCATAAAATGGATTTGTGCAAAAGGCCCCACAGCCAGGGCTGCCACCTGCTATATGAGTCAGAAGCCATACAAATCTCCAAATCAAAATGTAGGAATTATTGAAATACTAGCATAAGAGTTTAAAATGTTATTAAATTCCACATATGGAAAATGCAGTGATGGTCAAGGCAGTGGAAAATAGTTATTTCTTTTCCAGTTCAAGTAAAAACAGTGCTAAATTGTACTCAAATCACCAAACAATTGCACTTATATCACATACTATTAAGATAATGCTCAAGATGTTCTATTCTAGATTTGCAAATGTGTGTAATGAGAACTACCAGGTGTATAATTTGAAATCAGATGAGGCAGGGTCACATTACTAACAAGCAGTGTTTAGTGAAAAGGTAAGAAACAGTATCAACTCCAGTTACCTTGGCATCTTTCTGAGAAGTGGAAATGAACAAAACTTTAATACATCTCTTGCTGAAGGTGAAAAGAGAGAGTGCAAACATTGATATGCAACAACAGCAAAGATTATGTTAACAGGAAATACTCTTGCATTACAAATACACAGAGAAAAATAACAAGACTTTTTTTTCTTAGTCTTAGAATGATTTTGATAACTATATCCATAAAATAGAGAGATGCCATTTGGAAGAAAGATTATGACAGATCTAGATAAAAAGTGCAGAAATATACTGATGATAAATGTACATATTGTTAAGATTATGATATTTGAGTTGTAATATATGGCTGTGAAAACTGGACCATTCCAAAAACTGAAGGAAGAAAAAAAATATGCCTTTCAATTGTGCTGTTGAAGAAAATAATTGAGAACACCTTGGACTAGAAGAAGAACAAATAATTCCATACAGGATGAAATAAAGTCAGACTGTTCACCAGAAGCCTGGAAAATGAAACTAATACTTAAATATTTTAAATGTATAAGTCAAAAACAGTTTGGAGAAGACCCTTTAGATTTTTTAAGACAAATGGTTAAATGGTATTACTGATAATTCAAGCATGAGCTAAGAATTTAGACAATTCTTGTGAAATAGTCACAAACAGAGTAACAGAGTTGGAAGGGATCTTGAAGGTCTTCTAATTCAAACCTCTGCTCAATCAGGAAATCCTATACCATTTCAGACAAATGGTTGTCCAGTCTCTTCTTAAAAATCTCCAGTGATGGAGCACCCACAACTTCTGGAAGCAAGTCATTCCACTGATTAATTGTTCTAACTGTCAGGAAATTTCTCCTTAGATCTAGTTTGGTTCTCTCCTTTATTAGTTTCCATCCATTGCTTTTTGTTCTGTCTTCAGGTGCTTTGGAAAATAGGCTGGCTCCCTCTTCTCTGTGGTAGTCTCTTAGATATTGAAATGCTGCTATCATGTCACCCCCTAGTCCTTCTTTTCATTAAACTAGACATCCAATTCCTTCAACTGTTCTTCATATATTTTAGCCTCCAATCCCCTAAACATCTTTGTTTCTCTTCTCTGCACTCTTTCTAGCACCCCAATATCTTTTTTATATTGTAGCGATCAAAACTGGATGCAATATTCCAATTGTGGTCTTACTAGGACATTATAAAATGGTACTAACACTTCACATGATCTTTGATTCTATCCCTTTGTTAATGCAATCTAGGACTGCATTGGCTTTTTTGACAACTGCAGCACAATAAGAACAATAAGAACAACCAATCATTCAACCCAAAATTTCATTGTCACAATAGCAAACAAATAATAATACAAAAATAATAGCCAACTACAGCAAAGGCTGTTATGATTATATGAAACTAAAATGCTAAGACATAAAAAAATTGAAGAGGAAAAATTAAATAATGTACCAGAAACAGACAAACTTATAAAACATAAGATAAAACAGAATAAAATGCAAATATAATTTTAAAAAGTAAAAACAGTATATTATCCCTACATGATTAGGAAATCTTATGCCTTCTTACAGAAATCTCTGCAGCAGAACTTAGCAGAAACAATTCTGCTAAGAAAGAGTTCTGATCTGCAAGCAGGAATCAAACTTCCTCTCCCTCATGACAGTTTTGCTTTTGTTAGGAGGTGATAAAGGCATGCCTACCCCAAACTTAATGTAGAAAGAGAAGTGGAAGAATACAGAAGAGGGGGGTTTCTGGTTCATTTGGACCACAAGGATAGCATCATTCAGTGAGTTGAGAGCGACTGAATAAAAACAGCATGTGAACAAAATCATCCAATCACTAGCAAGAATTATTTATTTAACACATTTACATAGCTACCCATCTTCTAACCAACTCTGGATGGGTCCAGAATCAATCTACTACTCTTGTCTCTCATGTTCACCCCTATACATTTTGTGAAAACAATAAACATAAAGAGAACCAGATATATAAAACTTATATAGAAAAACCTATTTGCTTTCTCTTTTTAGTAAATTATAAATTTAGAAACTGTTACCTAAACCTCATACTATTATTTCTGCTTACCTATTTCCTCATTGTACACTTGAGTGTTACGAAAACAGCTTTGAAATATTTGGGGCACAATACTTTTTCATGGACAAGTTCACTTATATTTTATTCTAACCATTGTAATACAGCTGTAAAACATTTTTATTCACTAAATGCATCATCTTGTTTGCAAGACTGGGGAAAACAGATGGCTCCTCTCTTTATGCTTTGATTTTTAGCCATTTGAAATTCTTTCATCATTAGTTATACACAAGATATCTGTAAAAGTAGCACATGTTAAAGAAAGGAACATTCATGAAAATCAAAATGTTCTAAACAGCTCTGGGGAAAAAAACAAGGAGGAAAGTGTCAGCAAAAAGTAAAGAAACTGCCATTTTGAACATTTTGTGTTGTAGTGTATTGTGTCCCTGATGTATATCATTTCCTGTTCATCATCAGTAAAAACAGGAGGTATGTTTTACAGATGGGTCTGTTGTGCATATCTAGAGATGCATATGGTTTTAATTCTAGGTTCTAAGCAGCAATGGCCACATTTGGGAGAAGAAAAGGTCATGCACAGTTTAACAGCACTAGCAACGACCCTCCCCCAAAGCATCATCCCTTCCTAAAACCATTTACCATTCATGTGAAGGTATAGGAATGCTTTTCAGTCCAAGAGGAAAATTGCAAGAACATCCACTGGCAGAGTAAAATCTAATCTGTTTTAATACTAGTCAGTGAACATTACTGAGCTTGGATTGTCTTTTTTTCTACAATACAAATAAAGGCTGCCTAGCAACTTCTTTTTTAAGAATGGAAGGAAGGAAGGAAGGAAGGAAGGAAGGAAGGAAGGAAGACTTCTCCATAGACACTGATACCAACATGTTAACTTGACACATAATCCTACTCTTTCAATTACATCAACCTCAATTAAAAGTGAATTGAACTGCATTTGCTCTGTAGCGAGTTGCAGCTTCCAAGTTGAAATGGATATGCTTTTTTAAAAAAATGTTTAATATCATTGATCATGTAATAACAGTATCAATTAGAAACAAGGCAGAGTTGATCTGGACCAGGTTTCAGAGAAATTATATACTGTTGGCATATCAGTAGTTTAGTTCCATCCATATGTGATATGAATGAAAAACTATTAAATTAGGTTTGTACTAGGCTTGATGTATTCCATTAGACACTGTTGAATTGTTGTAATGCCCTGCCACATCAGTTCTTTAATACATTCTGTTTCTAGGATCTAGGATTAGAAATTTAGGACCTTCTGATAAGTATGACCTGTTGTCCGTCTGAATCAGCTGTGTAGAACATTCTGTGTTAATCATCATAAGAAGCAATCCAAAGAATTATGAATCTTAAAGAACTTTAAATCAGGGCTCTCTAAACTTATTGTTTTGAACTAGTTGCCTAAATAATATAATACTAAACAACATAATTTGAACCAATGGATTAATAGCCAACAGAAGGGAAAGTCATAGATCAGCTTCAATGTAACATAAGAATAAACAATGTAAGAACAAACCTGTCAGAACAGGCCAAGACCAGCATTCAGTTTTTTACAGTAGCTAACCAAGTGGCCCTGGAAGGTGGAGATGAAGACATACCCCTTATCCATGCCCCTTATCTATTGTTTCCTTGTAAATAATATTTAGAAATACAGTGAAATTAAATCTTCAAGACTAATAGCTTGGAACCTCAATGAATCTATCTAATTTTCTCTTAAAACCATGTATGCATATTAATCAGTGGTGGGATTCAAATATGTGAACAACCGGTTCTCTGTGTGGATGCCGCTTCTGGAAGTCCATTCTGGGTCTGGGCAACAAAAAAATAGCTACCGGTTCTGCCAAAGTGGTGCGAACTGACTGAATCCCACCACTGATACTAATGGCTATTAACATATTTGTGGTAATGAATTCCATAGATTAATTGTGAATAAGTGATTCCTTTTCAATAAGATTTACTGGAAGAAATCTGGTCTTGGTTTTTGAAGGGAAGGGGAGAAGAGGTTCTCCCTGTCCTTTTTCAGGGTTTCTTAAAGACATAGAGGATATAAACAGAAGTGTTTGCCTCTTGAGCATTTATATTGACTATGTACATTTGATGCTACAGTATGTTCCTTGGAGTCATGCGTGTAAACATGAATTCTTAGAGTAAATACTTATCCAAAGCTGACCTATAAGGTGATATAAAATCATCTGTTAACAGTACTTCTGTGATGCATGTATAGGATTAAGGTGCATTGGCTTTACCAAGTCCATTATTACTGGCAAACACTAATTAAACACTTCCTCTTCTCCTCAGGGATTTCATGAGAAAGAGAAATCCTGTCATCAGTGTATTGATGGCATGACACTCTTAAGCTCCAGATAAACCTCAATTGACTACTTTATGTAGATGTTAAATAGTTTAGACATTAAAAGAGCTATGCAAGAGCCAAAGTATACTTGCCATGGAAACAAAAAAGCTCTTTTTTGGAGAATGGCCATTTTCTAGAAACTTTAGCAGTCCTGAATTCCTAGATGCACATTCCAAGAGACTCCTTAGATTTAAGAATTATCTTATTATCAAACCTTAAATATTAGTGTTTTCAGTGGCAAGTGTAAATCTCTCTGTCTCTCTGTCTGTCTGTCTGTCTCTCTCTCTCTGACACACACACACACACACACACACACACACACACACACACACACACACACTAATGGTCTAAAATGGTCCCTAAGATTGTCCAGGAGATTGGCCTAGAGCAGTGGTAGGCAACCTTGGCTCTTTTATGACTCGTGGACTTCACCTCCCAGGATTCCTGAGCCAGCATGCTGGCTCAGGAATTCTGGGAGTTGAAGTCCACGAGTCATAAAAGAGCCAAGGTTGCCTACCCCTGGCCTAGAGTTTTTCCTTTCCTGACTCTCTTTTCATCTCCCATTTGATCGCTGCTCTTTGTTCTTTTCTGCTAACCCAAAGCACTAGGTCTTCATTACCTTGAAAGAAGGATATGCCATGTGCCATATTTAGATGGAAAATAGGGATGAAGGTGGAATCTTTGTACATTCTCCCTTTAATATTAATAACATAGTGTGTTTCACTACAACTTACATGAAGACTTTTCAGATTTTTGAAATCTCCATCCTTTATTTCAGTTATTTTATTGTTCTGTAAGTCGAGTAGAGTAGTATCTGGGGGAAGATCTTTCGGAACTTCCTTCAAACCTATAAGGGAGGGGAAAGATTATTACAAGCAAGAGAATAAAGATATCTGAAAGAAATTAATTATATTTTAGACTGTCAATTTAACCACAACTACTGCAAACAAATATAACCTAGATCTTATTTCTAAAAGTTATGAAAATTTTTCAATTCAATTTGTAATATAAATCATTGTGATCCTTCCTCTTTTTTATCAATGAGGAATTTCTGAAAGCACATACAGTTTAAATGATATTCATATTAATGTGAAAGTATTAAGAAGCCAATCCTAATCAAGGTTCCCAATTTCATTAGTATTCTCAGATGTCCATCACTTTTCCATTTTTCACCATTACAAACTAGTGATGCATGCATGTAAAATAAATAAAAATTTAGGCCAAGATTTAAGTGCATTCAGTCATTTTGAAAATTCCATGTTCTAATTATGGTCAGTTGGAACTAAACTATAATTCTGTACAACAATTTGAGGCCAGACTTGGAAACTTTCTCAGTACCATATTCTGCTGGTGTCACCAGACAAATGTTTGAAGAAAGGCCTTGTTTGAGTTCATTTACTTCTCAAGTATCTGAAGAGAGTAAATTGTATATAATCAGTATGGGCAGTTCAAGCAGTTGTTTAATTGGATATGTATCCTTCTACTAAAATAAACTGTGAAATTATTTCTGTAATGATCACAATTCCAAAATATATTTCAAAAAGGATTAATACGCTCACATGACTGATCAGAATGTAAATGCTCACTTTATTGGATTAATAAAAGCTAAAATATTACTTGATTAAACTACATGAATTTTATTTTATTTTTTTGAAACTGAGACTATATTCAGGTTGCATGTGTCTGTGTATGTATATGTGAATATAAGCATACATGTCTATGTGATGTGAAGAATGTATTTCTACTCAGCGGCGAATTCTTGAATACCATCAGGCAGATTGCTTCAGCCATTTTCAAATACAGTTTACATGGAATTAACATTATTTCATACAATCTTACTTTACCAACAATTTAAATGACCTATTGTATATTTTTGTGGCATGTGTTCCTGGGTTCTGTGTTATTATTGCATAACAAAAAATAGGACCACATAACTATGGAATATAAAAATAAGGTTTTTAATATTGTTTTGTAATAGAATAACAAATAGTAAAAAGACAGTTGAAGTGACTTAACTTGTTGTTCATCAGTTTAACTTTATTTTAGTAGGTTTATATCTCATCTTTTTTTTCCCATCAAAGAGCCAGTAGTGGCGTGAATGAATTTCCAGATGTCTCCCTTCTAGGCACTAAACACAGTTAAATCGATTTATGTCAGAAGTTAACTATATCAAGTACATCATCTATGTAGCAATTGCTTTTGCATTATTCCATCTTTTCTTTTTTCCAGGATTCACGTTTGTGTACAGATAACTCAATAATGTAATAGAGCTGAAACCTGCTATGATCTACTACATTATCTTTCAGTGGGAGCTTTGTTCTGGGTGTCTTATTTGATGCGGTATATTCTATCTATATCTATATCTATATCTATATCTATATCATCTATATCTATATCTATATCTATAGATAGACATGACATATATAGATATATGTCATGTGTGAATAAAAAATGGAGGAAGAATAATCATGAATATCAAATATCTCCAGAATTGAATGGTTATAAAAGATTATTTAAAATCACAATAACAGAAACCTAGAAGATCAAGAAATTAATATCAAGTCCAAAGGACTCCCAATATGGTCAGTAGGCAATGTGGTAAAGGAAGTATTAGAGAAAGGGATTTGTTCGCAAATGGTAACAAAAATAAACAGATATTTGCACACAAAAAAACCTAGAAAAAAATAGCAATGGACACAAAGCAAAATATTAAGAAGATATTAAAATTAAAAATTTTAACTTTAAATAGTTTAAACATTTGAATACATCAGCTGGAGAAAATCAGCTAGAAGGATTAAAGAAGACTAAAGGAAGTTTTCCAGAGAGGTTTTAAGTAGGGTTTAAATATGAATATTTAGCTTTTTTTCTGAAATACTGAAAACAGAGCATTAGATTCTCTCCAGATGGTATCCATCTGATAGTTCTCAAAGAATTCAGCTATGAAATTGTTTATCCTGTAATAAATATATGTATCATGTTGCTCAGAGGGCCTACATCAGAGTAGATTGGGAAGCCAACATAATGGAAAACAGAGAATAAAAATAAATTATACATTATGCCAAAGGAACCATACAAATAGCTAGATTCCTCAAGAATCTGTATTGTAAGGGATGCCTTTTAATAAACCAAGATGAATGGTGAACTGCAAAATGGCTATTCTTCTGAGATCACCTAAATTCAGCTGACCAATTTAACTCACAAGTAAAGTACTAATTAGATCAGATTCTTGAAAATAAGTCACTCAAAATATAAGAATGTGAGCCATAGAATCAAGGTAAAGGTAAAGGTTTCCCCTGTCCAGATGTGTCTGACTCTAGGGAGGTGCTCATCTCTGTTTCTTAGTAGAGGGAGCAAGCATTGTCTGAACACACTTCCGTGGTCATGGGGCCAGCATGACTATACATTGAGCTGCACAGAACCCTGTTACCTTCCCACTGATGTGGTAGCTATTTATCTACTCACATTTGCATGCTTTTGAACAGCTAGGTGGGCAGGATCTGGGGCAAGTAACAGGAACTCACCCCATTGTGCAGTGCTCAGGTCTCAAACCCAGGCTGTCAGTTTTCCAGCTGACAGACTCTGCATCTTTTAACTGCTGAACCATCACGCCCCTAGAATCAGTGGATCAATGTGCCTTTGTCTGTTTGAATGGAATTATAGTTGTGGAGTCAATAAAGCTTGATATTGTGGGTGCAATAAAGAATTGGGAAATGTATGTATATATATATATGTGTGTGTGTGTTTGTGTGAATGTGTGTGTGTATTTCATTAAGATCAGTTATGAAATTCAATCTCCACCCAAATTGTTATACAATTAAATCAGTACTATCACTGACTACCAAATTTGTCCAAACATGCAATTAAACAATCTTTCCAAGCAATTAACATGCAATTAAAGAATATTTTACTAACTAATTGGTTAGTTCAAGCACAATTTAAGCTTATACAAGAAGTGGTACTCAATATTTTGATGTTTGGCAATAATATCATTTTCTACTCTTACCCATTAGAAATGGGGAAATCTGCAGAGCAGCAATTAGCCTTGTTACAACATAGAAACATTAATTCAGTTGGAGTCTGGGGACTTCTACTGCTGATTGCAAAGCAATAGTTTGCTGATTTGGGAAGAAGGGATAGGAAGATTTCCTATTTATTCAGCCCAGTAATTTGGAATAAAGCAACATATATTTAGCTTTATGAACAATGCATATCATTTGTTGGAGTTATAAAATATGTTTATGAATTGGGATATAATCAGAATTTTTGACAGGACATTTGAACAATCTGTGGAGCTCTGCTGTATCTTTTAAAACTTACTTGTGGCAGCACAACTACCTAGAAGGCAACCTAACAATTTCCTCTTTTACAGTAAGGACAGTATTTATCTTTGGAATTCTATAAATATATGTAAATGGAACACTGGATTGAAATAAAACTATACTCAAAATTCCATAGCATCATTTGTAGTTATTTCAACCATTTCATTTTAGCTATATTGTTTAAGAAAAAGTCAACCATGAATACAAGATAGATACACCCTTTAGAAGTTCATAAAAATATCACAGGATTTTAAATTTAAATATGTTTTTCTTATTTTTTTTCATGCTAAGCTTTTTGATTAGCAAAAGAAGTATCTTAACTGCCTCTACTCAGGTATTTTCAAAACTGAAGAAAATATACCATTTCAGGAAATAATTCAGTGCAGATGAATATGGATAACAATTAATATACAACCTTTTTTTCAAACATTTATTTAAAAAATCCTTTAAAAAGTTTTGGATGAATGGTCTGATTCAGGTTTTGTCAAAAACATTGTATATGCTTATACTATCAGGATATTCTAAAAGTTATATCCAGAAATATATAATGTGCTCAAAAAATCAATATATGCTACTGTTTAAACTTCTATATCATTCTTATGATTCTAGATTCCAGTAGGAAATTTAAGAAAACTTGAAATTCCCTTTAAGATTTAGGACTAAGAGTCTTTGGTTAATGCTCATATTTTATTTTTCAATGTATTGTTTATCACGTAAGAACAAATACTAAACCAAAATTTTGTGATGTAGAAAAAAAAACTTTAACAAGTTTTCAGTTCATGGCTTACTTTGTCATCACTGCCATTATATATGAAATATAGCAGGGTTTCAAATTTATGGCATCAATATTTGACATGCAACTTGTTTTAGAAATGAATTAATAGGCCATGATGGCACTTCTTTTCAGGCAAGTGAATGATATAAAGATAAATTTCAATTTGTTGGCATCCTAAATGGTAAGAATGACCAATGAATACAAATATTTCTTAGTTTTCTGACAGTGACATGATTTCTATATGGCTATATTTCCATAGCTAATGCCTCTGGAAAATGAACTCTTAAGGGAAGAAATAATAAAACATAATTAATGTGCATTACGTATTAGAATCAGTTTGGAACTGGAACAAAGATCTGAAAATGAAGAGAAGAACTGAAGACAGAAAACAACTCAGGAGATTAAGTATCAGATATAGGTATGTGTTGGAATTGTTAATCCCTATTATTTTATCCTCTGTGGTGCTTCTATATTTGTAGATAAAATAATATTACAAAATTGCTGTAAATATCTGGAGATATTTCATATCAAAAAGCTATTTTCATTATACTTGCATCTTATTATATTTTTAGGAAATTAGGAAAACTTTAAAGCATAATAGTCTTTATATTTAATATTTTTCATTTATGTTCTGATTATTTATTATGGATACATTGGAATGAATTGTTCTCCTTCTACCTCAGCCAGTCTCCACATAGGTAGAAATAGGACAAAATAGATTATTAATGCTAAATGAATAAAATGGAGTTAAACTGATGAATTATATGAAGTCCCCATGATCACTTCTCCTTTATTTAATTATATCCCTTTTGTTCTATCATATTATAAGAATAAAAGACAGGATAAAATGAATGGAAAGAAAATGAAAACCAAGGCCTTACTTTTCTACATGTTAATAAGATTATTCAACATAACATCACATATTTCAATTTATTTAGAGGAAATTCAACACATTGAACACAGTGTTATTGCCACAGAATATTAAAACTCATTTAAATCAACCCAAGCATTTTATGAGATAACATTTCATTCAACTTACCTAAATCGGAACACTGTACAACCCGGAGGTGGCATTGACAACGAAATGGGCACACTGGCATAGGAGGGTATACTGTAGGTTCAGGCGTTCCAGATCCTGCTTCATCTTCAAGCATAAAATCAAACAAGCCTCTTTGATAAAATGGTTTGGCCAAGCAAAGTGGCAGGAATAGAAGAAAGAGGATAGCCAGTTTCATGATTTAGTTCATCTATTCAGCAGAGCAGGAATGAATCTAGAAGTCAAAGCAAAGGTGTACAAGATGGAAACACAATTTGAGTATCTTTTACACATTTATCATTTAAGAAGCTTCTGGTGTCACAGTATTCTGATGCCATTGTCTAGATGTCTGGTCAAATGTATCCAAAGGATCCAGTGCTTTTGTCAAACTGACAATAGATCATTGTGTTGTTACAACCCAAACTGTACCTATTTCATACATGTGTGTGATGCCATAATGCATATACTAAGGGGGCAGGGCTTGTATTACAGCAGCATGACATATCTTGTGTTATTTGACACCTTCTGACTCCACGCAAATACCTCCAGTTCTGGCATTTCTGGTCCTTCTGTTCTTGCATGATATTGTTATTTATCTTATATTATGTATTTTTCAGATGGAGTTTGGATTTTAAAGAAGTTTTAGAAGTCCTTTATTGAATGATTTTAAAACATTTTAGCACTGTATTTTTTTCCTTTTAAATAAATAGAATGAAAAGAAAATGTGGGCATGTTTGTTTATCTATCCACATGTCAATACAGTCACAATTTATACAAGAAACAGAGAACCATGGTAACCCAGAGTTACAAAAAGCAACATAGAGACAATTGTATATATCACTGATTTGACTTCCATTTTATTAATAACAGATGCCTTTACTGGAACTCTGTGCAATAATGATGGATAAAAGTCATACAAACTTTCCATCTCTGGTTCTTAGTCAATATAGAAACTGGACTGAAATATTTTGTTCCTACATTTTACATCTGGATGATTATTCTGAAGTTCTGAAACTTATGAATGGGGTTCAAGTAAGTGAGATTGATTGATTGGTTTTGACAATCAACAAAGTTATCAGGTAGTAATACTCTGTGAAAGGAAGCTTTAATTGCTTAAAACGAATTTTATGCCTCATTTTAAAGGGAGGAAAAAACCTTCAGTTATCATAATAGTGCAAATGAGCCTTACACTGATAAAATGGTATGGAACTTAAATTAGTAATTAGGCAAATGAGATTTAATTGAAGATTCAGGTCTTCCAGGGTGAATGATGCAAGAAGAAATGGGAGGAGCTGAAAGGATTTCTATAGATAGAAATTTATATAAAAATCCTTTTGTATAACTACTTAAATTATATACAAGAGCAAAAGCAAACAAAAGCCAAATCACAGAAAAGATTTATATTAATGCTAGAATATAAAAAAGTGAAGCCACGTTTCATTGTTTAATGAACAAATGAAATGAACACAAATGCTCACTGTTCTTAATGATTTTTAGAACCAATAGTATATTTATTCAGATAAATATGTTGTCTTTTGTTGTTTCTTCGGATCTAATTTAGATGTTATCACTGTGGCATGAATTTTCCCCTCTTATTGATCCTAATTACTGTCAGTAAACATTTATCAGCATATGTTTCATGAGGCAAATGTTTGACATTTATTTCCCGCATGAACACTGACATTGTGAAAAGGAAAAATGTTGTTTACTTGCTTGCTCTTTATAAATAATATTTGTGGCATGAGACCTTGCTATTTACCAAAATGATAAGAAAACTATACCTTATACCAGAAACCATCATGCCATTTTATTGAAATAGTAATTTACTGGGTGATTTACTTAATTGCAGGGAAATTAGAATGGAAATAACAAAATTATAGAATTATATTTTCAGAGAAATCCTTGTACAAAATAGAAAATGAAGTCCAATCAGGTTTTCCATAAGTGGAAATTATTCAAGACTTGGATAAGACAGCATTTAAAAGGCTGCAGAGAATGCAGGCACAGAATGGAGAAGAAGAAAAAAATCTCATTGTACAAATGGATTCTCCTTTGTGAAACATTGTATTATCCTCATGATTCCCTCACATATGCATGCACTACTTTTTGTTCCCATAACCATCTTGTGAGAGAAAAGCAGGAGAGGAAAATGTCCCAAAGTCACCTCTTAAATTGCATTATGGGATAAAACTTGCACCCAGTTCTCCCTATTCAGTCCTAACACTAGTGCTAACTACCTCATCTCAAAGCTATGTAGTTAATTTAGAAATTCCAACCAATTGCTTTATTTTGTGTTAACTGATTCATTAATATGTAGTGAATAGCTATATTTTTCTATTTCAAAAGAATATCAGTTGAACACATGCTCTATGGCATTAAAAATTAAAATATTTACTAAAATTGCTATTTTGGTCTTCAAATTAGTCATGGCATATAGACTAATTCATATTATGATGATTTTTAATTTTCTAATAGTAATGAAGTATCATGACACTATGAAAATGGGTGTTTTGGATTAGAAAACAATTAAAGAATTGTTTTCAATTAAAGATTAACTAATTTTGATTATTGGTTTGGAGGTATAAATGGTAGATGATTATTACATTTAAATCACAACCAAAATGTAGTGTCACAAGCACAAATCCTGCATTTTTCTATATATATTTAAATACCCACAATAAAGATCAGAAATAAATCTTTTATTTTGAAGACAAACTTTTATTGAAATGTCTTTAAAACATTTTAATAATCTAGCAAATAAACAAGGTCATTCTGCCCTTAAAAATGGGCCTTATCCTGCTGTATTCTTTAGTAACTGTAGGATTTTTCATCAAGGTCTCCATGACTGCATAATGGGAGTGAGTCCTATGAGCCTAATGAGATATTCTTCTGCATAAATTTGAATAGGAAATTCAGAATAAACATGCATGGTTATGAAGAAACACACAAAGCCTCTGAATTCCTCAAGATATATATATGGGAAACCTTATAGTTTAAAACAATACATTATATTGCACTGAGCACAGGGGTGGGGGGTACTTTAATTCCATACTGCATTTTGTTGTGGTATTTTTGTCCAGGATTTTAGATCTCTTCCTGAATCAGTTGTAACCACAATCCTTGGAATAAATATTTAATTTAACTGACTAGTGGAAGACCATATTTTTTCTTTCTTTTAGACATGAGGAAACTATAGCTCTGTTTTACTTCAGAATTATCCTTTGATAATCATCCTTTGATAAAGCTGTAAATGGATTTTAGGTACCCAAAACTTATTAGGTATTGCAAACTGATGAATTGAATATGATATCAATTTTCAGACAGGCTGAATATCTGCTTTTACAGTTCTTTGCTTTTACCACTGTACAGCTCTGTTTGTTTGTCTTTAGTACTTTGCAGCTGAGAATTTCCCTGTCTAAAATATCTAATCACTACAAACATACAAAATATACAACTTTAGAATGTTTAGAAGGATCTTTTATCCTATGAAGAAAGGATTCCCTCTTTAATTTAAAATAATCATTGGGAAGAAAAACATTCCAGTTTTTCAAGTATAAACACGAAATCTTACAGTTCTTTCATCTTACAATATCACCCACTCCAAACTCCACAATGCAAAAAAATCCATTGCTGCAAAATGCCTTAAGAAGCGTGCCAAGACTTTTAAAAATAAAAATAAAAAATCTTCCAAAAATATAAGATATGGTTAGGAAATATCAAATGTTCTCAATAATATTTTCAAATGTTACATATACAACATTTCTCCCAACAACTAAGAACTTTTCTTACACTCTCAGAAAGATTTTGCTTTTTAAAAGTGAAAATAAAGTGAAGAACAATTATTAATGAAAGCCATACCTTTTCATCCAGGGATTTGCAACAGGCACTCTTGGAGCTGAGAGGCAATTAACCGAAAAGAGCAAGGCAGAAGATCCTGCAGGTGTGGAAAGGAGGAGGGGTAGTTGAGTGAGGCGAGACTGTCACTTGGTAAGAACCCCTCCTGCTTCTTCTATTCCATAGCACAGTTAAAAAGCAATGTTTTTCTCAATGAAAAGACTCCAGGCTGCTGACACCCACAGTACATCATATGGTAATGATATGTCTCCTGTATTGTAGCCAGAAACTTTATCAGCCCCCATTTTTTCCCTTTTCCTTTATTTCTTTTTCATGTGTTCAACTTCCTAAATACTTTTACAGATCAGCAAGAATAATGGATATCTTTTCCCCCTTTAGTATGCCCAACTATGTACTTAATTTGAGGATTTTCTAGCTTTGGAGCATTGTTTTCCAGGTTTGAATTATATCTCAGAGAAAGAAACTTATTCAGAAAAGTTTAAAAAAATATATACTGAAAGAAGTGGAAGACATGTAAAATTTGACCTGATATAGAATTACACTGGAGAGTAAATGCTAAATAATATATTTTCTTGCAATATCTATAATTGCAATAAAGTAATCCAATAGGTGTTTATAAAGTGTTTGAGACTGCAATCCTATATCCCTTACTTAAGGTAAAATCTACTGAATGTATTTCTAGAATGATAGTTCTCATGTATGATCACAAATGTGTCACACTGACAATTTTAAATAAGTGTAAGTGCACAATGGATATTTGCATAAACAAAGTTCTAACATGGCTCCAGCAATATAAAATATCACACTTTCATTTCTTTTTTTAATTAGATATGATATATAGCATACATTTCTGATTAATATATTGTAATATGACACTCCGAACTGCAAAACCTGTACTTTGCATGTCCCAGGGAGGACAACTATGATAATTGGCATTTAAAGTTACCCATAATTCCTGTTTTAGAAAAAAAAAGAGCCCAGTGTTGTTTGCTTCACAGCACATAGGAACAGGACTAAGAGCCAACTGTCAAATGAGTAGATGGAACTTCCCTGGATTCTTACCTTCCTTGTATAAAATGGATTTGTGATTCTGTTTAGACTTGTAGCGTTCTCCATCCCCTCAGGCTGCATCCAGGTGTGAATGCTATCAGCTTAAGAGAGAAAGAGGGGGAGAGGGGGAGATCTGTTATTAGACCTGGAGGTTTGGAAGCAATAGCTAGTTCATTTATCTGAACGTGGGTAAAAGGAAACCAGAAAGGTTAAGAGGTTCATTCAAATTTTACTTATAATTGTTCTTTCAGGAAAAACTGCTTTTTATACCTTTATATGGCTCTATTTCCATTTCCTCATCCTTCCAAAGCATTTTAAGACAGTCATACAATTGTCTTCTCTCTTGCCAACCTCCAAATACTAAAATGAAGGCATCAATCAATGTTACTTCCAACCATATAACAGAATAACAAAATAACAGAGCTTGGAGGTCTTCTAATTCAACCCCCTCAGCTCAAGCAGGAAACCCTATTCCATTTCCTACAAATGGTTGTCCAATCTCTTCTTAAAAATCTCCAGTGTTGGACTACTCACAACTTCTGCAAGCAAATTGATCCATTGATTAATTTTTCTAACTATCATAAAATTTATCCTTAGGCTGGTTTTCTCTTTAATTAGTTTCCATCCATTGCTTCTTGCCCTGCTTTTAGAGTGTTGAAGGAAAACGTTTTCATCAGGGTCCAGTCCAAGCCGGGAATAAACAACATGGCGACTGCTTTAAAAAGAAGGTTGCAGTTTATTGAAGAGGAGAGCCAGACAGAAAGATGGCTCTAGAAGAAAAGAGAGAGAGAGAGAGAGCACATGTAGGGAGTGGGTTTTTATACCCTCTGGGGCTCTTGAGATTGTTTCCTGTTCCTGTTTGAGGCTTTGAATTTTCTGTGTCATGTATTTTGACCAGAGTCTGAGTGTGCCTCTTTGGCTTTTGTGGGTTAATTCTATTATGTCCTGTCTTAGAGTTTGGGTGGGATATGTAGATTTTAGGTATCTTTGTCTTCTTAATCTTCTAGCTTCAACTTTCCTGAATGGTTTACATCTGCATTCCTACAGAGCTGGTTTCTGCTTGGGGGAGGGAGACTTGGGGCTATTAAGAAAAACTGGGCATGCTTTTCCTTTGAGGAAATATAATATTCTGTCCTTTTAATATTTCCTTCTCTGGGGGGAGGCTGACTTCTCACAAGAGAATAGGTTGACCATTTCTTCTTTGTGTCAGTCCTTTCAATTTTAGAACTATCATGTCACCTCTATTCCTTCTTTTCATTAAACATGACATACTCAATTCCAATAGAAGTCAAATATAATTCCTCAGGGCTTTGAAAGGGCTTCTGGAATAACAAAAATCCACATCTCCACCCCATGTAGAAGAGAGAAAAAATTGGTACATACTATAATCATGATTGTACATGCAATATGTCATCTACAGACCTATCAGCCTGACCTCAATACCTGGGAAGATTCTGGAAAAGATAATTAAACAATGAATCAGCGAACACCTAGAGGCAAATAAAATCATTACCAAAAGCCAACATTGGTTTGTAAAAAACAGATCAAGTCAGACAAATCTTCTTGCATTCTTTGACCAAGTGACAAAATTATTGGACCAGAGGAATGCTGTGGATATAATTTACTTGGACTTCAGTAAGGCATTTAATAAAGTAGATCACAACCTACTACTTGATAAGATAGAAAAATGTGGTTGGACAGCATCCCCACCAGATGGATTCATAGCTGGCTGACCAGCTATACTCAGTGTGTGGTCCTCAATGAAACTGCATGGAGGGAAGTGTGTAGTGGGGTGCCACAGGGCTCTGTTTTGGGCCCAGTGCTCTTCAACATCTTCATCAATGATTTGGATGAAGGGATAGAAGGGGAACTCATCAAATTTGCAGATGACACCAAGCTGGCAGGAATAGCCAACATTTCAGAAGATACACTTAAGATACAGAAGGATCTTAACAGACTTGAACATTGGGCGCTATCTAACAAAATGAAATTCAATAGTGAAAAAAGTAAAGTTCTACATTTAGGCAAGAAAAACCAAATGCACAGGTATAGTATAGCTGGTACCTTGCTCAATAGTAGTAACTGTGAGAGGGATCTTGGAGTCCTAGTGGACAATCACTTAAATATGAGCCAGCAGTGTGCTGCAGCTGCCAAAAAAGCCAACATAGTGCTAGGCTGCATTAACAAAGGGATGGAATCAAGATCACGTGAAGTGTTAATAGCACTTTACAATGCCTTGGTAAGACCACACTTGGAATACTGTATCCAGTTTTGGTCACCACGATGTAAAATAGATGTTGAGACTCTAGAAAGAGTACAGCGAAGAACAACAAAGATGATTAGGGGACTGGAGGCTAAAACATATAAGGAACGGTTGCTGGAATTGGGTATATCTAGTTTAATGAAGAGAAGGACGAGGTGTGACAGGATAGCAGTGTTCCAACATCTCAGGGGTTGCCACAAAGAAGAGGGAGTCAAGCTATTCTTCAAAGCACCTGAAGGCAAGACAAGAAGCAATTGATGGAAAATAACCGAAGAGAGAAGCAACTTAGAACTAAGGAGAAATCTTCTGACACTTAGAACAATTAATCAGTGGAACAGCCTGCCTCCAGAAGTGGTGAATGCTCCAACACTGGAGGTTTTTAAGAAAAGACTGGACAGCCATTTGTCTGAAATGGTATAGGGTTTCCTGCCTGAGCTGGGGGTTGGGCTAGATGACCTCCAAGGTCCATTCCAACATTATTATTATTATTATTATTATTATTATTATTATTATTATTATTATTATTATTATTGTTGTTGTTGTTGTTGTTGTTGTTGTTGTTGTCATCGTCATCGTCATCGTTATCGTCATCGTCATCGTCATCATCTAGAGGATGGGGTGGCATTAAATAACACATACTGTAAACATAGAAATTGGGAAGGAGGGTGAGAAAAAAAATCAGTGAAGAGAATGGAAAGCAAATTAACTTAGGCAGGTTTTAAAGCTTTTGTAGGAATTGTCAACATGTCTAAAACATTATTGGGTTCATTGACAAGACTGCCTGTGAATCTATTAGAGGACTCCAAATACAGGTTATTGGAGAAAACCTCAAGCTCCTGAAACATCACTGTCACAAATTGCAAAAGGGAAATGATGCTATTTGAGATGTGTCACTTATAAGTTTCAGGTATCCATGGATAATGATGTAGAAACAGCTGATAACAGACACAAATGTCTGTGTGAAGGGGCCCCTATTTTTTTTCAAGAGCATATGAATATAATTTTTATTCTCCTTTTACTGATTTTGAGGTATTATAGGAGCTATAAGGAATTTGATCCATGTGGAGATAGAGATATATCCATGATCTGACCATGGAAAAGGAAGAGGCCTATGCCCAATTATTTGATCTTCTTGCTATTAAAGACAGGGTCAAGTGTGTGCCCAATTCATGTGTTCTGGGGCCACAAACACATGTGATAAGTCCATCATCACTATGGACTAAGTGCACTGGAATCTTTTCTCAGGAATAGATGTTGAAGTCACCGGAATGAAGAAAACTGGAAACTTCAACAGCATATCCAAGATATTTTCCAGGGGTTTGTGATGTTCCTCTACTTGGCAGTTACAATTAATCATTTCTTGGAGTGCAGCTTTTTAAGTCTGTCATAATTATGGCTGCAGCTTACTTCCAGCCTTGGGGTTATGATGGCCAAAGTACCTAAAATCAGGGTGGGCAAATTTCCAACAGGGCTCCCTTGTTGCTCTATTGCCAGGTTTCAGATATACAGATCAGGTTGGCATATTTGTCCATCACTTTTTTTATGGATGCAGTTTTATTCTCTATATAGCTTCATCTGCCAGCAAAAGCTGGATACCAAGGTATTCCAAAATTCAACCACCCGGGCCCAGGACTTGTCTCCCATTTATCGTTCTCCAGTTCTGCTGTGAAGTCTGTACTAGGCAAAAAAATGGATTCTAAATAAAGGAAGTAAAATATTTTTCTCCAGTAGTCTTTTCAAAACCATTTCAAGTATGCTTTGCATCAAGAAAAAAAGTAATATCACAGTAAACTATGTATAAAATGTTTCCACTAAGTATACTGGAGACAGCAGATTGGCTTTATATTGGCTAAAATATTTCTTGGACCTCAAAGGGAATGTTCAGACTGTCTGGAAACATTTTATTCCTTCTGTGAAATCATATCTGA